TGGAGGGTTAAGTGAGAAAAATCTGTTTTCTGGAGTTTAACCCCTCCAAGCACTCCGGAAACCACATTTCTCTCACTTTACCCCCGCCCCCACCCGCCTATTAATAATTACCAGAATTTGGGACCGCCGTACATCAAGAAATTCCACGAAAACAAACTGAGGTCTTCCACATGTACCGGAAAGTATGTATGACTAGTTCCAACATACATTGCAGGAAATGAGATCCCGTTGAAAGCTGAATCTATCAGACTTAGCATATTTGCATGGCAGAGTTGCATCATGGAGAAGTTCTTTGTAATCTTTACATGCTTTTGAACACTTTCGTAAATGCCTGAGCTGTACAGAATGTTTGTCGAGTGATGTGTCATGGGGCTATTGGTAAGTGCACACATCTTACACTTGCATGGCACATCTCTAGTGTCTTCTTTAAATTGTTCTACCTCCATAGCACTATTCAAGAGTGAACTCATTTCTTCAACTGTCTTCTGCTTTTGAAATTCTTGGCGTCTCAAATGCTCAGCTTGCCATTTGGGAATTTGATCCAGCACGGTTTTCATTTCTGTTTCATACTGTAATTTTTTTGGAATTTGGTAGGCTGTTTTGTCAATACTTGCGAAGAAATGTTCTATGAAGCCTTCAGTCCCTTTTCCATTTAATACTTGCACACTGAAACCAATGAGATCAATAATTGTATTGCACAGTGGACGTGCAAAGATCGTTTAAACACACACAGGAAGAGGCACGTCATCATCAAAGAACTCACCAGCAGGAGGCTTCTATGGTGTTTTTATGAAATGAACTGGGTTTAAAAGATTTCATAAAGTTTCCTTTTGCAGCCGTACTCGCAGATTTAGAGCAGTGACCAAACAGTTCGCAGCCTTGAACAGGGTTGCAAATGAGAAGCAACTCTTTAATTGAATCATGAACCTCACTACAAAATGTTTCAGTCAATTCCTTTATAGTTGTTCCACTTTCCACATCTTTGTTTAGGTGAACCTAAGAGAACATAAAGAGTACATATGTATAACATAGTATGATGTATTAAGGCAGGGAAGAGGGAGGAACGGTCTATTGTTGTTACCCACCTTGAAGAACCCTAACCTTTGTACATCAGAGTCTTTGTATTTCGATTCACAGAAATCTTCAAAATTAAATAGGTCCAGTTCAGACAACTCAGAATCTGGATATTCATCGGAGAATGAGCACATAACGTTTACTGGTGGAGAATTACTAAAGTATGCAATTACACAGCACACAAAGGACAAGAACAACAAAGGAGACCCCAGGAGCAGGAGACAGCTTCGGGCCAGCTTTGTTTTGGTCGTCAGCGTCACAAATAGTGCAAATAATAGAAATGATTCTGCTAATAGCAA